GTGGGTTTTATTTATTATCGTATCCGGTTCCCGACCATCACCGATCTCTCTCTGTGTAATTTAACAATCATCAACCGATCAAAAATACCGTAACGAGCAACCATCCCTGAAACCACCGCTGAATGGAAATTTATTCTGCAGTATCATCCAATACATTTATAAAAAAAAAGGGGGAAAAAGGAAAATCAATTTAAACTGGTTTTTCCGGACTGAACTCGGGTCATTGACTATCTCTCTCTCTCTCTCTCTCTCTCTCTCTCTCTGCGACGCATTTCGCGAGATTCGTCCATTTTCTCGACTCAGCCCTTAAGTACGGGTAAGTTTTTGTAAATTTCCTATGCCAAATAGAAAGAAGATTTACAAAGCTAAATACAACGTCAAATAGAATCATCAATGAACTATTCTCATGTCTCGAATCAACGACAGTCATATTTAAAGGATCAATTAGAAACCTCTTCCACGTAATGTTCCTCCTAGTAGAGATTTCGTTTTTATTTTCACTGCATCTTAACGTTCGTTGTACATTCTTTCTTTTTTTTTTTTTTCTTTTTCAAATAGAAGCTACGCGAATATCTTCGGCTCCAACGACATTTGCACATACTATTGCGTAGCAAGGGTTAATGCTCGTGTCTTCGTTCGCGCAATTTGGCAGACGCAGTACAAGTGAACAGGATTAAAGGAAAACGAAAACCTTCCGACACTACACGTCAGGAGTCATCGCGCCACTAGCTCTCGAAACAACGACTCGCTGAACCGAGTATTCCTGGTATATCCATTGTCGGTTCTATATTAGACGCTGAGGACAGCTTGCGCGACCTCGCAGATGGCACTGAACCTCTTATTGTTAGCTCGTGAAAATCTTTCCCTTTTGTTTCTAAAATTTCCCCCTTTGTTCTTGAAATATACATACTTGAAATCGTCTACTCGTCGTACAATGTGTATTTTCAAACACAGAACGGTGATCGGTAAGGACACTATTTCCACGTAAGAATTCGTTTTACGATTTAGATAAAAAGTATGCGATTGAATTCACCGGCGAATCTTTACCAAACTTATTACCGTCGCTTTGAGAAAATATAGGAAAGAAAAACTAACGAATTCTCGATTTGCGACTTATAAAATTTCGCTAATGATATCGGTCCAATCGCGCAAGACAGATCTAATAACGTTATTTGCCCCGCGATTAGGCCGATCGTTTTACTCTACTGGATATATATCTGGCGGTCTGCCAACCTTCTAACGTCGAGTCACGAGAGAAACGCAGATGCAAATTTAGAGTCGATCAACCATCGACTTTCCTCGAGTATAGTCGAAGAAAAAGGTTTCGAGCGTGACTGAAAAACGTTACCACCCTTCTCAACGACCCTAATTCACGAAGGGGTCGAGGTCTTGCCCTGGCGAGAATTTTTTCGCGAAATTCCGCTCGTGCACCGCCGGGGATCTGGGTCAATGGGCGGCTGCAACTGCCATCTCCTAGTAGAGTCTAAAGGGTTACGGTAGTGGCGTCGTTTTCGGGCGAGCCGCACGCGGAAATAAAATCACGACGAGGCAGCGGGCGCAGCTGTAATCCGGCAACGGTACGAATTGCACGTTGCGATTGAAAGATATTTTCAGATGCGGGGAAAATTGTGAAGAAAATTGTGAAAATTGTCACCGAGGGAGCTTGGGCGATAGTTAACTGTAAGGACACGTACACCGGTCGCTCACGATTTTCTTCTTCCTCAGTTTCCCCGCTCGTTCCGATACAGGAAAATATAACGAAAAACTCGCTTATCGCTCGTGTACGATACTACAAGGGTCATTGCGCGGAATACTCGAGAGGCAAGCTGGAACGTAATACAAGAGTTCTCATCGAGAAGTTTAGATCCTTTTTTTAAATCGTAGTTTAAGCACTTATTTCGAAGGACGCGCTACTATGTTGCTGGATGTTCGATACTATTATGAGATTTGTCAGAGTTTCGGCGATAATATGCACGATACACGAACACAATACCTTTGGTACGTAAGTGCAGTAGCATCACTCTCGGTGACCTGTACTTTTATTGCACCGCTAGCTGGTCCAAGGACAGACTCATTCACCTAGGCTGCCAGACAGTCTCACGATTCTAAATAGGTAGAGTTGCAGAAATAATTTCACATACAGTTCCGTCACACGGTCGATTCTCTTCTGTCGTTCGAACATTAAAGATATAGACTTCCATTGTAACAAACATTTTCCTATTCTTTGTATAAATACGATAAAATGATCCGACAGAATCAATCTGAATTGGAAATCCTTTTAAGCGGAGAGGAGAGATCCAAACATGACCGAATTTGTCTCCGGACAGAAACCGGCATTCGTGACGCTAGAAAACGTATCTCACCCTCATTTCGAAAGCTGACACCGACAAAGGGAGAGAGAACGAGGAAAGCGAATAGAGTACGAAGAAGAGAGAGAAGGAAAACAACGAGGTTTACATGGAGAGGGAGGTCGCAGAAATTCCCGGTTGCCTGGTCGCGAGAGAAGCCGTATCTCTTCGGTATCTCTGAAATGCGATGGTGTTTCGCGCGTAGTTTTCCACACATACACACATACACGGGTTCATACAGCGGAAGTTGAACGTTAGCCGGAACTACGAGTTCCTCTTTCTACCTCTAACAACTATTTGCTCTCCAGGTGACCTTAATCTAGGAAATGGTCACTAAGAGGTGTTCTCTGTGCGAGAGTAAGCAAAGCGAAACGCGGACAAACGACTGGGGAGACAGAGGATAACAGCGGTCACGCGACAGGACGAAGAAGTCAGACAGAGGGGCACAGCAAAAGGAAATAGAAAACGAACGGAGAAGGAGCGGATGAAAAGGGATCGCGAATAGCACAAGACACGGAAACGTTGCATGGAGGTGCGTGGAGCACGCGCGCGTTCCGTTAATGTACTTTATCAGAGAGGAGGCACGCGTTGCGCGAGCTTTTCCGAAATAAGGTCGTGTAAATTCAGCAGCAGGTCCGTCCCCCTCGGTAATTCCGAGAAAGGGCGCCACTTTGCATTAAGGCTGCGCCACCGTTGTCTTGCGAATCGGTTATGAAACGGTTATGCGTCCGCCGGATTCTACTTAGCTTCGCGTACGCGACAGCGAATTAAAACGTAGCTCGCTTTTACACGTTTCGAAATTTTCGTTCGCGGATCTGCGTGGATCTTCCACGTTCTAGAAATCTTGCATTTGGGCAGAAGTTGCCGATAAGTCGTCGAAATTTTCCTCTACAAACAAAAAGGAAAGAAGAGCGTTACAACAGAGGGAGGAAACAGCACGTAACGAAATTCCACGCACAACAGATTCGCTCGATATTTGCACGAGCATTCTAACAACGACAAAACTGACGACGAACGAATGGTTCTAGAAGGCAAACTTTGGCTTGTCATTCTTTTAACAGTCGCCACTTGGTTGCGCGAATATTTATTGCGCGGTAAGAGGTCGTCGCCTAGGGTTAACGCAACAGGAAACGGGGAGACGTCCATTATTCCGAGAACTTGGCTCGACGGTCGTCGTCCTTTTGCCTCGCATAATTTAAAAACGAGACTAACTGGGTCGTCATCCAACAGGTTCTCGATCCTCGTTCCAAGTATCCCGGTCGGACGGTTGCGAAACGTTCAACGACGCCGGGATGGTTAAACGCCTAGAATTCGAGCGAGATGAGAACGACGACTGCTTCGTCGAAACGAGGATAGCCGGGGTCCACGGGGAAACTCGGTCAACGACTTAACCAGATTTACCCGGGAAACTTTCAGAAAATTGACGAAGGACGCGGGACG